GCCGATCGCGTCGTTTTCGAGTCCTGCCACCACGCGGCGCTAGCGTCGCCGTCGGCAGAGCGCGAGCGCTGGTGATGCAGGCCGGACATTTTCACCTCGCAGCGTGCCGGAGAGGTAGGGAGCGAGATGCCAGCCCTTCCATTGCCCGTGCCTCGCAAAGGCATCACTGTTATATGTGCCGTTAGCGTCGGTCACAGTACTCATTTGCTGGTGATCCTGCGAGGATACTTATTGGAACTGAGTGACACCTGTGTGGTAAGAGGCTGCCTGCTGTGAAGAGCAAGCAAATGACAACACATGTACGCTGTTGGGCGGGTTTCTTTCTAGTCGATGGTGATCGTTTCACCAGTTAAGGAAGTGCACCCTAACCAGCATACTGGCCACGCCGTACTACCGAGGCCGGCGAACTGGTGAACGGACGAACCGGTGTCTGCGGCCGGTGAACCAGTGTTCAGTTACTAAAGTTAGGCAGCCTTCCTGGACCCCTTATTGACATCGCGTGAGCGGTTCTACCATGCCGGGAATGTCAAGGTGTAGAAATTATATTCAGCAATATTTGTTAATGCATTTAGAATAAAAGCTTGCATACATTACGATGAAGTGAATCAAAGCCTGTCGCCTTCAGAAAGCAAAGTTTACGACAATACACCTAATTAGATGCAATTGTCCTGACACTACCAGCGAAACGCTTTTGTGTTCAAATGATTGTTTAATCATGCCAGGGATGAGCAGGTGATGTCCTGGGCATCCTCTTTCCTCCATCTTAATTCTTCGTGGAAGCAAGCTACATCAGGCAGGGATGGTCAACTCCTCGAACTTCATGAAACGACCGCTTTTGCCTGAGCTACAAAATAGTCGAGTCAGGTTAATGCGCATTGCGGACCACCGTCGCAAAATGACCGATTTCTTTAAGCCTCCTCATCGCCAAATATTGGTTTGTATGTATACATTTTGATACGTTTTATTTTGCACATCACCCACCCAAGATCGGGAGGGGGGGGGGGGGGCTCTCCGGCGGGGTAGGGGACAGCGAGCAAGCCGACCGTGGTCAGGAAACCCCAACCGCCGGACCAGATATGACCATCGGACCTGAGAGACCGGACCTGGGTGCGGCCTTAGACGTTAGTACGGATTTGTCCGACGCTCCAGCCGATCGCTATAACAAACAGCAACGGCGCTAGTGTTCACTGAATCTCCGGGTAGAAAGTGCCCGTGGCCCGGTTAGGTGAAATAAATCGCGGTTTTTTTCTCCGAAACGGCCACGACGGTGGCTCGTTTTCCGAAATGGACCACCGCGTCAAAAAGAAACGCCAGCTAGCTTGAACGCTTAGACGCTAGCTCTCGAGACAGCTTAAAAACAGCTTAGAAACGGTCTAGCTTAATGGATGTGGGACGCCCGATCACCGGCGAAATCACGCGGGGATGGGTGCCTGACGCGTTTTGAAGATAGTTGTCGCTACTCTCGAGAACGCCGCCAAGCGGGTGCCGCTGTCACCACGGCTGGCATCGGAAGTGGCACGCTAAGCGAAAACGTGGCCAGAGGGGGTTGTGCATGGTCCGCCTGAGGTGAGGTAGGAAGAGAGCGGACGGGCCTTGCGCCAACGCCGGCGACGTGACGCCCAGGATCTGGGCCCAGTTGCACGCTGGGGGCCGAGCACTGCAAGCAGCGCCGGTCGGCCCGGCAACACATTGGGCGGAGGTGGGAAAAGGGGGGGGGGGGGGGCGTGGCGACCAAACTATTGGACCACATAGGAAAACAAGGGCGGGTCGACCTGGTCAGGAGAACTCAAGAACCATTAAGGCATGGTACAAAGGGCTCTACAGGAAGAAAGAACTATTCGAGACAGACGGAGAAGGGTGCATCAGGGACCGACAGCCGTGCCTAGGCAGGATGAATGAGAAGGTCCCAACGCTCATCACTTGGCAACGACATCTGGCTCCGTGGGCAACGGGGCGCCGGCGAAACACGCACCATGTGAGAGCTCGGAACGTCGTAGCCATCTCAACTGGACTAACGACGGCTTGCGCTCCAGATCTGTCCCTCTGGACTAACGACGGCTTGCGCTCCAGATCTGTCCCTTGAGCCTTTGGAGCGTCAAGGGACATCTTTGCAGCGCAAGTCGTCCATGTGTGTGGATGACATGCGCTCCAAAGTGGTGCCTCGTGTCCCTCCCAGCAGGGCGGGCGCGGGCGTGTATTTTGCAAATACTGGTGACGATCGACATTCTAATGGTTAGGCGTGGAAGCGAGCCTGGAGGGGCTTTGGTCGGACGGCGACAGGGCACTCGCGCCCGGCGTGGGTGAGCATGGAGTCCGAGGCTGGTGACGCGCGGAGGAGGCCACGTGGAGGCGGCTCATTTGTTCGCCCTCACCGAGGCCATCTGGATTTTGTTGTTTAAGGCGACCACGTGGAGACCGTTGAGTTCCGCGTCGCGGCCAGGCGCGGCGTACGGGCCGCACCGGCGGATCCATGAAGGTCCCCTTGGTGCTGTGGTGTTAATCTGTTGGCCAGTTGTACGGATTGTATTTTCTTGTTCCATTAATTCTTCCCAACAGCTCGGGGCGGGTAGACCCTCACTGAGCCCTGTCCAGCGCTCATGCACCGACTCACTGACGACTACGTTTTTTTTCTTTCCATTCGTTATTAATTGTTCATTTCCATTCCATTCGAATAAGTCCCATTCGATATTGAACTGTTCTCTTTTGTTAGATGGGAGCCGTCGAACCCCGTACAGCACGCCTGCATGGATTTCTTCATGCGCGTGCGGCCTTCTCCCTTTGTTTTATTGCGCGTCCGGCCCCATGGACTGACTAATTTTTCATGGCATTCGAACACGTGTAACATTGTTTTTTCAGTTGTTGATTTCCTTGTTTAATGCGATAAAATCTAACTACGTCCAGCGTATTCGCACGGACTCCTTTAACGAGCGCGTGCGCTCCCCCCTTCCATCGGTTCGCTTTTGCCTGGCCCGGCTCAATTCCCTGACTGACCTGCACACGATGTCCACGCTCGGTTAGCAAGGGACCCTCGCATCCCGGAGATGTATGCTACGCATACCGGAGGCTTGGCGTGGGGGAGCACGGTGTCGGACTTTCGAAAGCAGACGGGATCTCCGGGCTCTTAGCCAGCGATCAGAGTGAGATCGTCTGCCGTGGGTGCTGAGGCATCGCGGCGAGGTGCACGGGGTCTGCCACCTCTCGAGAGATCTCCGCAACTCCGCGAGACCAGGGAAAGTCACTCACGAGGCGGCACCCGACCGTGCTCGGATGGCGCGCGGACATCCGCGACCTGCTGGCAGAGGACGGCACCTTCCAGCAGCGGAAAGCTGCGAGCGCAGGGCGTGGCCGAAGGAATGGTGCGCCACCCACCGTGGACGAGACGCGGGGAGTGTCGTCCGAACAGTGAGCCGTCACCCTGGAGGGCGGACGAGGGAACGAGTCGTTGTCCAACTTTTAACATCTTAGGCCGACCCAGTAGCCGCGTGGGTGCCAACCTGATAACGAATTTGCCTGATGTTTTAAATGGGGAACAGAGAGAGAGAGAGAGAGAGAGAGAGAGAGAGAGAGAGAGAGACGAGAAGAGAGAGAGAGAGAGAGAGGAGAGAGGAGGAGAGAGAGAGAGAGAGAGAGAAGAGAGAGAGAGAGATGAGGGAGAGGGATGAGAGAAGAGAGAGAGGGGGGGGGGGAGGGGAGAGGAAGAGGGAGAGGAAAACTTACTTTCTCGTCGTCCCCAGATTACATGCGGTGCTCTCCAACGGCGAGCCGGAGGTCGATACTAGTGCCATCACTCTCACCTTTCGGCACCCCTGCTTCCTGCTGATGGCGCGAAAGCCGGGGTCGCCTTGATCGCGGCCCACTGATGACAGCGTTCGTGCTTTGCGTCTTTGGGGCGGTGGACAGCGGGAGCGGAGGTGATGGGGGACGGCGGGAGATGCACTCAGCTGGATGAACTGAGAGTGTCGGTTCGTCTCAGTTGGGGATATCTGTTAACGGGCTTTTGCAATGCATGGATTAGATGCCGGTATTCTGTTGTTTTTGTGAAGCTGAAAAGTTTTCAAGCTTGTAGAATCTTCGGAGTCTACCTCTGCATTAATATGGGTACGGGACGGCATTATTGGACTAAGGGGAGAAACGACAGGGTGCAGTACTACACTTATTGATATACACATCCTGTCGTGGGGTGTTTGTGAGTTTCTGGCGTTTTGTGCCCTGTGTAGGACATTTTTGGTGCGGGTCTGTATGTTCGATGGCAGTGGCAAATACAATATGGCTATTCATTATGAGTTTCAAGAAGACAGGGTACATAGTACCGCTGTGCTGGCTCTTTTCCCCACATCGCTGTGAAGTTTTGTACTGGTGTTCTGTACGTATTACACCTAGCCTATTAACGGGTCATGTGTGGTCCAGCAGCACCAATAGTCATTTCGACCCACTTTACCTCCCAGCCCGTGGAAATGATTTTGTCCGATGGTCTGGCAAACCTCCACCACCTGCACGTTATGAACGGCCTGCTCGTTCTCGTGGCGGATGGTCCTCTCACCGCGCCGCGCGCGCCGCTGGCTGTCCGCGCGGCCCGAGTTGGACGGATCGCCGCGCGCGCCGCTGGCTGTCCGCGCGGCCCGAGTTGGACGGATCGCCGCGCGCGCCGCTGGCTGTCCGCGCGGCCCGAGTCGGGCGGATCCCCGGCGTGGCGACGCGTCCACCGCGTCGTTTCAGGCACGTGAACGTGCGGACGATTTCGGGGAAGCTGCTTCAGGGTTACCCAGGCACCCATGATGCGGCAACAACGTCTGATGCTCGCTTTAATATCTTCATATGTGAAGCACTCCCTCCAACGGTAGGGTGATAGCAAATCTGCGACACTTGACCAGCACTGACTCGGGGCTGCCGACTGATGTATTCACGCGTTGGTCGCGCGTCGCTGTGATTCGTGGGAAACTTCAGTCCACATTAGATAACAGGAACACAACTGAAAAGCGGACCTGTTCAGATAACAGATGTTGAGCCCAGTTCAGATGTATTCGGAAATACCTTTTCATCGTTTTGTTTTTCGCAGCGGCGCTCGGCGAAGGACAGGCGTGGCCAGTGCAAAACGTTGATTCAGAGCAACAACATCTGCCCTGTGCGCACCGCCGTGCTTTCAACGAACGTCCGCCGCATGGCGGACCAGGACGGAGACGGGTCTGGTTTCACCGAGCGGGGAAGGCGGTGGGTGCGGCGAGCCCCCGCCCTCTGCCAGCGCGGGGACCCGTTCCACGCTGGCCGGCACAGGTTCGCGGCCAGTTCCCGTGGCGAAGTCACCTGCCGAAGTGGGGCGGAGACGTTGGCCTCAGAGGGAGACAGAGCTGGCATCAGAGGGAGACGGCGTTGACCTCAGAGGGAAACGGAGCTGGCCTCACAGGGAGACAAAGTTGGCCTCACAAGGAGACGGAGATGGCTTCAGAGGGAGGCGGAGCTGGCCTCAGAGGGAGGCAGAGTTGGCCTCAGAGGGAGATGGCGTTGACCTCAGAAGGAGACGGAGCTGGCCTCAGAGGGAGACGGAGCTGGCCCCAGAGGGAGACGGAGCTGGCCTCAGAGGGAGACCGCGTTGACCTCAGAGGGATATGGCGTTGACCTCAGAGGGGGAGAGAGTTGGCATCAGAGGGAGACAGCGTTGACCTCAGAGGGAGATGGCGTTGACCTCAGAGGGAGACGGAGCTGGTTTCAGAGGGAGACGGAGTTGGATTCAGAGGGAGGCGGAGTTGGCCTTAGAGGGAGACGAAGTTGGCATCAGAGGGAGACGGCGTTGGCCTCAGAGGGAGACGAAGTTGGCCCCACAGTGAGACGGAGTTGGCCTCAGGGGGAGGCGAAGGTAGTCTCAGGGGAGACAGAGTTGGCCCCACAGGGAGAAGGAGTTAGCCTCAGAGGGAGGCGGCCGGCGAGGCGACAGTCAGCATGACGTACTCGGCGCAAACGGGGGGAGGACGTGGTAACGATGGCGCCGGTTTCATTTAAATCTGCAGTGATCGCCGTGCGCAAGGTGCCGCTTTCTGCCAAACAGTCGAACCTCGGGGAAATATCAGCGATTCGTTTTTTCAGACATGCATATAGAGCCGTACTTCCAGCAACGGAAAAATGCAAAATCTGCGAAAATATACTATTAAGGTTCGTCACCGGGACCAAACGCAATTTAATGGTCGGAATGTTCAATTTCCAAAGCGCGTAGGGCCCCCATCCACCTAGTGCATGATCATATACCTATATATATATATATATATATATATATATATATATATATATATATATAATCATAACACCTAATGCATCGCAGCCCTGAATAGATCAAAATACCTCAATTCCCCGTAAGATTTCTTGTGAGCAGCAGCGTCAGTTGGTAGCACAAGCAGCGGCGGGCGGCTGCGCTCTCTCTTTATCCGCGGTCACCTCTGCCAGCACTTGGTCCAGCTTGCGCAGAAGCAGCTGACAGTTTTCCTCCGAGAACACAATCGGCGGCTTAAACTTGAGAACGTTCCGGTGCGGCCCGTCCGTCGACAGCAGCACCTTGTCCTGATGACGCCATCGGGGGCCGCCGGTCAAGGCACGGGTAAGGGAAGGCGGTCACGAGAGCGTGATGACGTCATAAATCAAGCGGGCATCACAGGTATTGAGTCACACCATAAGAACGCTGTGACGTCACAAGTCTCGGGTTACGTCACGCGCGCGTGGCGACGTCACGCACCACGACAGTGGAACCCAGTGACGTCAGCAGAATCGCGACAGGGTCCGTGGCGTCACTTCGGGTGCTCTGCAATCCACCAGGTGAAGCGCACCTAAATCACATCACGATGGTGATGCCATGCGTGCCGAGCATGACGTCATTGGCGGAGAGACACTACGTCTGGCGAGACATTACGCCCGGCGAGACACTGCGCTCGGTGAGGCACTACGCTCGGCGAGACACTACACCCGGCGAGACACTACGCCCGGCGAGACACTATGCCCAGCGAGTCACTACGCCCGGCGAAACAACACGCCCAGTGAGACACTACGTCTGGCGAGACATTACGCCTGGCGAGACACTACACCCGGCGAGACAACACGCCTAGTGAGACACTACGTCTGGCGAGACACTACGCCCGGCGAGACACTACACTCGGCGAGACACTACGCTCGACAAGACACTACGCCCGATGAGACAGGGTGCCACGTTTGCGGCAGCCACACATGGCCGGTTATTTCTATATGATACTGCCCAGCAGCACCTATCCTTTCGCCGAAATGCAGTGAGATGAAGGCAACCCAGCCAGCAATCACTCTCGACGCGGCTTGGCTGACGGCCAACGCACTGCGCCATTTTTACGCCGCATTGGGAAGTGTGCGTGTGCCGTACGCGCACGTACACGCATAAGAGTGTATATGCATGTATAACCACGCCGTGTAATTTGGATGACGGAACAGCTGCTGCCCGCAGCTTTGGAACTGATCATCACGAGGCGGATGCGCTAGAACCGCCATCCAGCACTGCACCGGCTCGGCTTCCGGTGGCACAAGAGACGGGCAGGCCTTGGCTCTGCACCGGCCGTTAGGGACCTCGCGTGCCGGCCGGGGCCTTGCGTGCCGGCCGGGGGCTTCGCACGCCGGCCGGGGGCCTCGGTGCGGGCCGGGGCCTCGCGCGCCGGCCGGGGCTCCGCGCGCCGGACTCTCTCACTCACCTCGCCTTGGAGCATGCGCGTTACAACTTCCTTGGCCTGGTCGGTGGCAGGGGCGCGGGTCCCGCGGTCCGTCACCAGATCAATGCCGGCGAACATGCCCATGATGCGGATGTCGCCTGTCCAGAGACGAGTGTCAGCGGCGCGGCACACTGGGTGGGGGCGGGGCGGGGCGGGGCGAGGAGGGCGGGGCGGAGCCAGGGGCGGGGCGGGGTGAGGGGGTGGGGGATGTCATTCCGGTCACGCGGCCGATTTCGGCTGCCTCGATTTCCCCGCGGCCTGTCAGCGCCGCCTGGTGGAGACACTCCACGACGGTGGTCAAGGTAGTCGCACGTGTCGGGGGCAAAGACAGCTTAGGACGCACATAAGACACGCTGCCGTGCTCACAAGCACGGTGCCCCCAGCGGTGGTAAACTGATGCCTGCCGCACGGAGTTTAGTGGGCGCCACATTTGAGAGTGCAGATGGGCTGCGCCACACCTGCAGACGGCGCCGCGAGCGGTCACCCCGCCGGCACCGGCCCGCTTGCATGATGTGCGACTGCACATGCTCCTGCTCTAATCCTTCGCCGCCACCGTTCGTTTGGCTCGGTGTGGTCAGGGTCTTTGCAGCTGCGGCAGTCCGATTCAAAACTATGGAACCGAGGAGGGAGGGAATCAGGACTTGAGGAGGGAAGCAAGTGATGGGGCAATGCTGCGGCCTTTGAGAAATCCCCGTTGCCGAGCCTTGCCCCGCACAGGGAGCCGAC